GGATGCAGCTACCAGACATAAGGATGAAAAGACAGCGCTGAGAGGCCAAAGGTCTAATCCTGGTTTTCCCTTCCCTTTTTTGCTCCCCCAGGGCTCCGGGGTTTGATGATTGCTGTGATGATGGCAGCCTTGATGAGCTCCCTCACGTCCATTTTCAACAGCAGCAGCACTCTCTTCGTTATAGACATCTGGCAGCGGATCCGCAGAAAGGCTTCAGAGCAGGAGCTGATGATTGTGGGCAGGTCCTTACGTTTCTTTATGTCTCATTGCTCTCATCATCTGTTTCGAGGGCAGCATTTACATTCTCCAGTCTGGGCTCACTGAGGAAAATCTGGTGCCTAAAATATAGAGTGGAAACACAGCCTGGGAAAGAGCATTACGTTTTCCAGCTTCATCTCGGACAGACCTGGTCAAAGAGAAACACTGAGTGTACCACTGAGCTATGCAGATCATTGCCTCTCTCTTCTCTAAACTTAACATAAATACTGAGTTCAGTGCAACTTTTAGAGAAGCCAGAGGAGCTCTGGAGCCACTGGCACCAGAGGTCTTTAAGAACATGTTATTTTTGCATCAGACAGGAGTGATGCATTGCAATTACTCCTTTCTTTTTCAGGGAAAAGTGCAGAGCTGGGCCTCCCAGCTCTCTGTCGCTGTGGTAAGTTATAGTGCCCTTTGCGAGCAAGCTTTGGTACTGCATTATATCAGGGGCATATAAATTCTCCTCCTGATAGCAGAATTTAAGCTGTTTTCTGAATGTTTGTGGTGCTTTTGCTCTCCAGTCATGAGCATTAAGTTCTAAACTTTGCTGTGGGGTGGCTGAGGGGTGCAGGCAGTCTCATACTCCACCACCATACAGTAGTGAGAGGGGAAGAACCTCCTTCTTGTTCAGCAATACGGAGAAACCTCTGTAACATACAGGGCAAAGATGAAGGAGGGTTACAGTATGCACCTGAGACCACAGAAGCAATTCTAATAAGCAGTAAATGAGTTAGAATTTGGCAATGGCGCTAGACTGAGCATCCTATCTGCTTGGAAAGGTAGCAGAAGGACTGCTTCCATGCTTCCACAAGCTTTCAGCTCCCTCTATCTGTTACATCAAAGAGCTAGTCCTTCGAAGAACATACCAGGCTGAAAGGCTTGCACTGATCCAGCCCACAGGAGCCACCATGCCCTGTGGAGCTCTCATGCATGTTGACTGGCAAGCCCTAGCTCAGCTCACTCCGAAATCTGTGAAGTTCACTTTGGGAATTGGTTGAATTGACTTTCTAGAAGGGAACACTCTCTCTGCACAGGGAAAGGTTCTTCTTGGGAGTCTTGTGCGGATTTTTCTCAGGAAATTCTGAGAGCAATTGGAAATTTTCCTGAAAAACTTATTTTCAAGTGTGCTCCAACACCTGCAGAGCTAATACAGTTTTATCCTCATCTTCCAGAGTCATTATCCTCATCCTTATAGTCATCAGTATTCTCTGGATCCCCATCATTCAATCGGCCAACAGCGGCCAGCTCTTCGACTACATTCAGTCCATAACCAGCTATCTGGCCCCACCGATCACAGCTCTCTTCATCCTGGCAATCTTCTGCAAGAGGATTAATGAGCCTGTAAGTAGAGTGTCAACAACCAATTAATATACATATTTAGTTTGATGTGATAAAAGAAATAACTCTCCCCTCAGTGTCTGAGACTCCAAACTCTGTCCAAAGTCAGTCCAGCTAATGTGTGACAATTAGACTTTCCCTGGCATGCATTAGTGGACCTTAGCCCAGTCTCTAGTGTTGTATGTGTTTGTTTGCTTCCAAGCAGCCACTGCAAGTGGTACTTCTTGGCAGTCTTATTTGAAGACATGGAAGGCAAAGTTGTTCTGCACTTTGGGGATGATGTGTCATTCTAGCTGGGGGCATGTTGTTAGGAGGAGACTCTTGCATTGTTTGTGCTCTATCTGTTCCATGTTCAAGGGCAGAAAGAGAAAATAAGGATTTTTAAACTGAAGATACCCTCCTTTGATGCATGTCAGTGTGGGTTTCCATCAGGCATAAAAGGTCTTGGGAAAGGGAAGAGAAAGGAAAGGGAAGAGAGAGGGAAGGAAGGGAAAGGGAAGGAAAGGGGAGGATAATTTCAACCAAAGGTAACATGCAGTGACCTTTCCTTTATGCTTGCCTTTTCTCAGGGTGCTTTCTGGGGCCTCATGTTTGGGCTAGCTGTTGGTCTTGTTCGGATGATCATGGAGTTTATTTATAGCGCACCGTCCTGTGGTGAGGAGGACAGAAGGCCAGCTGTGTTAAAGGACATGCACTACCTCTACTTTGCTTTCGTCCTCTGTGTCCTCACTGCGATTGTCATTGTCCTTATCAGTCTCTGCACCCCACCGATCCCTGAGGAAAAGGTGAGTGATGTGCAGTGGCACCTTTCCTCAGAGCCCCCGTTTGGTTTCCAAAAGATGTCTGAAATCTGTCCTTTCCTTTTCCTCCCATGGTTAAGAAATGGTGTGTAATGCATATGCTGTGAAGAAGCCCTGGCTCCTCAGCTTTCTATTCCCCAGGTTGCATAGCGTTAATGCTTCCTGAGGCACTGAGTGCTCCAAATTGAGTGTGAGTTCCCATGCTGTGCCTAGAGCTGGGCAGACACCACAGCCCATCATAGCTGGAAGAGAAAGGAAAGGAGAAGGGGAAGGAGATGAAATCGCATTACAGAGCACTGCTGAGGAGGAATTAAATATATCTAATTGTAGCATCTACCCAGTTTCAGCAGAGCCAGCATCAATCTTGCAGGCAAACAAGATTAATATCTTCTGCAACATGGGCATTTAGGAAAACAACATTTTGTCCCAATATGATCTCAATTACATTTAATAACTTTGAGTCAGGCACAACTTTCTTTTACTTAACACATTAAAGTGGTGCAGAGTTGGGAGGCTTTATATAATAAGACCTTAGAGCAGCTATTCCCAGTCCCAAGTTTTAAAGCAGCTGTCAATATAACAAATCCTGCCATCTACCTCCAAACAAAGGTTACTGGAAAGGTTTAAAAGACCTATTTTTTTCCTGTCTAACTGCATGAGGAAACGCAGGTGATGCCATCAGAGCATTTTCTATCTGTTGCTTCCTCATAACTTGTAAAGCATTAACCAGTTCCATCAATGTTTGATTGAATGTTACCCAGCTCCTAAAGATTACATGAAAGCAGGTGCTCAGATAGAGAAGAAGGGGGGAGAGGGAGACTGTCTTTGTGTCTGCTTTGAGATAAAGTATCAGCTTTTATTAGCTATCAGAGGATCCACATGGGAGAGAGAAATACTGACAAGGAGGCACCATTAGTTCTGCTGCTTACGTTGTTCACTACTGCTCAGGGGTGGCCAGATGGTTGCCAGCAATTAATTACTGTGGTTTAATGAGTTCCCACTCATCATCTGACCTGTGATAACTAAACATGTGCAGTGCTCCCTGCCCACAGCAATAGCAAGATAAGATGCATTAACACAGCACTGGCAAATAGCGAACATCACACCAGCAGCTTAAGAAACGAAGAAGTTGGCCACAGCACCTACAGACTTTGTAGTCTGACCTTGGAGGTAGAACATCTAAGTCATATTTTAAAAGGGAGAGTTCTGGATGAAGAGGTACTGTAATAGCATCAGGGAAAGAGAGGTTATGAGCATAAGAGATTCCTTGGAGGAGATTTTCAGTAGCGATAGGTGAGTTTATAGGTGTGGGGCTTAAGGGACCTTATTTGACATAGTCTTCATAAAGCCAGTGCTCAGAAAAGGTGGATTTGGACTGGAAGCGGTCCAGGAAGGAAAGCCAATGGAATGGTCAGGGAGGATAGGATTTTGTCTAAACCTGTGTGCAGTTATCCCAGAGAAGCAAAGGGTAAGTTGGAGGTGGTGACTGCCCCTCCAGGTACATCTAGAGATCCAGGGAGGGAGGAGAGCTTGCTAAAGGGGTAGAGCTTGCCATGAACAAACATAGGCTGGGCATTTTTGGGGAAGTTTTCTAAAGAGGGCTGTTCAGGATAACCTTTCAGTAGGCAATGGACCCCACGTACTGCTGAGCTCAGTGCTTGACCTCTGCATTAATGGTTCTGCTGAAGAGATTTAATGAGAATTAATGATATTGCCTGTGGCAGTGAGAGGCTGGACACAGAGACCCAGATAAATTAATCATCGGATGATAGTGATGACCATCCATGTTCCATGTGCCCCCCTGCCTTCAATACCTTCTTACCACAAAGACAATGATACGGGGTGACAGGTAATTTGTGCCACACAGTGGTAGCCAATGCCCTCTTCCCATAGCTCGGTGGCATGGGAAAGCCTGCTCCTCTTTGTTTTTACTCTGATTTCCATTCAGGTTCTACTGTTTATCCTCAATTTCAACAGCAAAGTTCTGACCTTGTTCCTCAGAGAACAGCCAAAGTGAAGGTGTGGGCCTTAAGCTGAGGTAGGTGCCAACATTACTGGGTTATTGCCTGCATGGCACGAGTCAGAGTGGGCAGCATTAAAACCAGCAGTGTTCATTTTCCCCTCAGTCAAACTCACCCCAACTTTTGCAGTAAATGTGAGTGCAGATGTAGGTTTGGACCACGGTTTCTCGTGGTGTCCTGCAAGCAGGGCTTGTCTCCTCATCTCAAGCTAGTCTGCGGCTGTGCTGAGATGGCTCAAGGACAGAAAGGTTTTGGGAAACCAGGATGGATGTGTCAGGCTCTAACACTGGGTAGAAACCAGCACTTGAACTTTGTGTTTGGCCATTAGTGACCTCTAGCTGCTGGGGTTTGGCATGCAAGCAGGCAAACCTGTGGTGAAGAGCCACTATCACCCATGATAGTGGCTGAGAGGGGCAAGCTGGTATTGGGTGTCCTGGTTGAGGATACCTGAAGCTCTGGTGCTTCTCAGTCCCATGTGCTGGTCAATTCACTTTATGAGCCCTGGACATTTCCCCTCTAAAGATTGCATGGAACTAGTTCTGCCAGTGCAGTGCTTTGAGGTGTAATGATGAAAGACACCACATAAAAGCTAGGAATTACACCATTTATTTTGTCAAGGAAAAGGAAAAGAAAAACAAGCCACCAAAGAAAAAGCCAAGCAAATAGAGTGATAGATCTTCCTGCAGCAGATGTAAATCAGCATAGCTCCATTGTCTTCAAAGACCAGGAGCAGCTGTTGAGCACAGTTATGCCACTTTACACCAGCTGAGGATCTACACTGGACAACTTTAAATATCGAATCTCAATGTTTTTGAGATAGTAGATGCGCAAAAGGAGGACAGAGATTTGTGTCTGATGTTAGTGGTACAGCTAATGTGTCTGGCTTTAAATGAATTACAATCCAAGAACTGCAAGCTGTAGCATTTTCTCCTGCTGTTTTGGACACTCTCCCATCCCTGTGGTGATTGATGCTTTGCTGGAAAACAAGTATGCAAGGAATTTGTTTGGTATGCTCCCGAGTTCATATGTCTTCATTGTAGGTAGTCCATATTGTGTCACACCGTCCTTGAAAGCCCTGAAAAAGAGCTTACAATTAGATTTGAGACTGTGAAGCTGAAACACAACTGTCAGGTGCCAGATGGCATTTTGGAACAGAAGGATTTATTCTAGTTTACAAACAACAAAAGGAAAACTTTGCTGAGCTCTTGCAAACTCCCCTGTGCAAGGAGAATGGGAGGTGGGGAAAGGGAGAGGAGCAGCCTGCAAAACACAAGTGCTACACAAGTTAGGTGACATCCCCGGGGGTTAGGGCTCACTCAGACAGGCTGATGGATTGGCAGTTCCACACGATGTACTTTGGGATCGGAGATGTTTTCCCTGTGTCTTGAGCTCTGGCTTCAGTGACTCCTTTAGGTGTACAGCCCAGCACTGCTTTGGCTGGCCTGAACCCACACCGTGCACCCTGAGGTGCCGCAGCTGAAGGTCTCACATCATATTTAGTGCTATAATAGCAAAGCACACTCAGCTCCTGTGGGAACCAGGCACGAAGAGAGGAGCAAACTAAAGTGGGGGGGACACAGGGCTCTCCGAGCAGTGCCCATACATAGCTCTGCAGTGGGGAGCAGGGACACAGGGCTCTAGAGGACCAGACAAGCAGCTACCCCCTGTTCTCCTGCTCAAGGTCAAAGTCAATTATACTAACGCAGCTCCCCTGTCAGCAGTTCTTATTTATGTATTTGCTTGCTTTCTCCAGGCATGCAGAACAAGTGCCATCATCTGCTTCTCCTATCCCTATCCCTCTGTGGATCTGTGCCAGGGAACTGTACCCATCTCCGTGGTGGCCTCTATGGCCACCCAGTGCTGCATTCTGCCTCAGCATGCATCCTTCTGGCAATGGCAAAGAGGAGAAAAGGGGACTCACTCAGGGAATTCAGCCACCCAAAACCCACATGGGGAGCTTGAAGTTTGAGTGTTGCTGTGATGCTTCACCAAGGAGCCCTCTAGGGTGATGGTTTGCTTTATCTGGCCATGGTCAAAGTACCAGCACCTGGCTGGGTCAATGGGCTAATGCATATGAGGTTACCTGTACGTCTATGCTGCTTTCAATTGGGAATTGCTCCTGTCTGGCAGAGTCTGAGCCGCAGGTAAACATCAGCCCTTGCAGATTTTGCTGCAATATAAAGAGTCGGTCATTCAGAGACGCATAGAAAGAAGAGGGAAAAGAAAGGAAAGTTCTGGAAATCCTCTAGTAGCCTGAAACTTTGCTGTGCGCCAGTGACATTTCCTAAGTGATTAAAAAGAAAAAAAAAATCCCTGAGAAAGATGAGGATCATCAAATCAAAGCAATTTAGCACATCGTGACAAGAAAGATTAGCCCTGCCCAATGCTCATCTTGGTTGAAAATGATTTAAATAAAGCTATAAATCTTCTGGAAATTATGCAACATTTTGTGTCAGCTGGAAACTCCTGCCTAGATCTGTGTGTGTAAAAGTCAGGAATTAAACTCATGTGTCAGGGACATCACTTTACTTTGTAAGTGACCCATTTGAGATGTTCATTTCCATACGGGCAGAGCAGGGAGGCAGCCGCTCGTCAGACTTCACCTGGCCTGTTGTCACCGCTGCAGCTTTGCTGCCCTGGTCCCATCCTGTGGCTCCTCTGATGGGCTGGAGCTGGGGGACAGTCCATGGCCCTGGGTAGCAGCATTCCAATGGGACCGATGAGCATCATCCTTGGCCAGAGCACACAGGGGTTAGGATGTCCTGGTGTGCCATAATCAGTCAGAGCAGCAGCAGGCCTGGCTTAAATTCACACTGGAGCCCCTGGGATGATTAACTCCATCCCACAGCTGCAAAAAGACCACTGTGAGGTTTGCAAGATTAACACCTTCTGTGCACTCTCCGCATCCCAGGGAGGAGAAGAGTTTCAGACCTGCTTTTGTAAAGCAGATTGCAGCCACAGCAGCCTGCTCATCATCTTCCATCATCTTCATTGACAGACTGCAGACAGAGGTAATGTCTTGGCTTGGCTCAATAGAGAAAAAAAAGAGGAAAGGCTTTTGGACAGCCAAGTCTTACTGTGTATGTCCAGAGCTCATTTTTTAATACTTTTAACTATCTCTCTTGGTCTAATGTATGGTGTAATCCTGCATGTGAATTGTAACTTGATATTCACCACATCATGGCTCTGTCTGTCCCATAGTTGCACTTCTTGAACACATACACACAGTCATAGAACAGAGACACAATACTGCTGCTTTTCCCACTCAGAGCCCTGACATAAGCTCATTTGGAAGTCCACTTGTCCCAGCTGTGGGGTTTAGTGTTCCCATTGGGTTTTCCTTTCCTATAAAATGACAATTGAAACAGAAGATCCTCCAGACCCCTCCGCGTGTCCCAGAGAAGGAGCTGCTCAAACACCAGTGTTCCCATGGCCATATAACTGCGTCATGTCCTATAGCCATATACCTGCATGCTAACACCTGACTGCTCTTTCTCTGCTGAGGGTACAGTGGCTGGCTGTGATTGACTGTAGCCAGAGAGGGTTATTTTGGCTGCTGCTTCCTTTTTTTTTAATTGATTTTATTACCCTTCCCTGTTGGAGAGCTGCCATTCTGGATGCAGATCATCATTATTTCATGTCAATCAAGTGACCCTAGCAAATGGGAAACCGCTTCTTCATTGGCTACTAAAAGGTTACTCCTGGTGAAGACAGGGATGGAACAGGTTAATTATAAAAATGCAAGGAAGGAAACTAGATTAACTCACGTTTTTTCTCAGCTTTTCAGCTCCAACTGGGTGGTACCAGTCTTCTGGTCCAGAGTGTGGGGACCTGTGCAGAAGGGAGGTGAGATGACGTGGGGGAATAACTGTCACCCCAGAACAGGTCTCTCAGCACCATCTTGGATCTGCACCCTCAGAAAGGAAGACAAGAGGCATGCCAGTTTGGATATGACAGGCAATAACCTGTTTGTTCTCTGTCCCACTTTGCAGCTCGCTTCCCTGACGTGGTGGACAAGGCACAGAAAAGCACCTGCCATCGACCTGAAGGATTACAAGAGTGGAGGAGCACAGATCAACAGAGCAAACAGAGAGAGAGACTTGGTTGAAAGCACAGATTCCGGCGATAAGCAGGAGGCAGGTAGGAACACTCTGAACAAGCACAATTATGCACCTGCGAGTGCACAGCCAAGATCTCATGCAAGTCCCTCTAAAGCTCATGACATTCACTGGAATTGGGGCACAGCTTTATGGTATGCCAGTTATAAGGGTGTGACAAATGTAAGTATTGTGGTTCTTGGTCCTCCCAGTGTCTCTCCTAGCATTTACCCCCATGTTGCAATCCTCTGAATGGCTCAGAAGAGCTACCATTCCTAGAAAGAAACCATTCAGTAAAATGATTTTTCTTTCCTCCTCTCCAGAATAAATTATTTGCTTACGCAAACTACCCCATTCCAGTTATGCCCAAGTTACACTTAAGGCCTTCACACTTAATGGTGTGCTGGACTTCTTAAATGCAAGTCAGTGGCCACTTACTTATGAACACCCCTTGGGAGGGTGGAGGTCTGTGCTGCTGGGACACTGCTCCTTGCTCCATTGACACTGGAGCTTTGTGCCATGGTACTGCATCTATCTGTCTGTCCCACCAACATGCTCTTGAGGAGGTTCACAGCACTACTGCAGGCATAACCAAAGCTACCACTAGCACTACAAAAGTTGTGGCAGGCTCTGTAATTTCAGCTTTCTGCACATAAAAGTGCCATTTCTTCCTGTCCTCATCATTGATAGGAGACAACCCCCTTGTGTATGTGCTAGAGATGTCTCCTCCTTACCCCTGTGTGGGCTCCGTGGGCCAAGCTCACCCAGTGTTGCTGTAATGTACTGTATCAAAATAGCATCGTGCCCCAAAGGGACAATGAGACACTAGGAGCAGACGTGCACTTCGTGGATGTCCTAGGATAAATCCACAAGCCTCAGCTTTCTCATTTACATTAAGCCAATAATATCTTTTATCTTCCTTTAGGATACAAGCCATGGTTAAAACTCAGACCCAAATTGCTTAAATAGCTGTGTGTCCTAGCAAGGGTACTTAGTAAGAAGGCAAAGAGTCAAATGAAGGCAAAGAGGTGTCACGAGACAGAACGGTAGCAGGAGATGCTACATAGGCAAGTTCTTTTCAGAGTGGACAGAGGTTTATTCTGCAAATCCATTCAAAAATGCAGCTTTCTGGTTTTGAGCTTAACCTTCCAAGGTTACAGAGCAGAAATCTCAGAAGAAAGGTATATACATAAGATGTCTTCACTCCTTCCTTTTGCTGGTCAGCCCAAATGACACTGGTACCAATCACAGCCAGTCCAAACAGAAACAAACAACTAAAGAAATCTCTTAGTATTTTTTTTGACCCAGCAGAGTGAGTTTGGGTTTAAGATGAATGCAACCATTCAGTGTTATTTATTATTTCTTATCAATTCCTAGCTCACTTAACTAGCTCGGATTCTTATAAACAAGTGTCTTGGTATTTTGGTAATTAGTACTGATGGGAAAGGAAATGTGCAACACAGCAGCTGACAGTTTAATGAGGTTTCTTTTCCCAGGTAACACCTTTTACAAGGCCTTCTGACATTCTGCATCTCACAAAAAGTTTATATTTGGAAAGAAGAGGCAGTGAAATACACACGGCGCAGGGCTGACAATTAAAGCGCGTACTTCACCCGGCGTGTCACGTGTAATGAATGAGCCAGGGTGTCTCTAAATGGACCATCATGCTGTCAGGAGTTCATGAAAGTGGATGGAAGCTGGGTCAGGGAGGAGGGGGAAGAGGTCTGTTAATTAACTAATGAATGATTGGTGTTGCAATCAACAGAGTGTAATCAGGCTGTGCTGTACATGGTTCAGCCAGAGAGCTCTTTACCCTTCCCTTCCCCATCTCCTGTCATCATCTGGCATCTCCCATGCAAGGTGCATTTCAAACCCCACTCCAGATTGGTCGATGCACCTCCAAACTAGTGGAAGGAGGGAGGGAAGAGTCCCAGATAGATGATAACACCCAGTGTTTTGGTCCATCTCTCACAACAGACAAGCCTCCCTGCTGGAAAATGCTGTACCTGTGGTTCTGCGGTCTGTCCACCGGCCCCAAGCCCACCCTGTCCCAGGAGGAGAAAGCTGCCCTGGAACAGAAACTCACCAGCATCGAGGAAAAGCACCCGTGGAAGACTGTTTGCGATGTGAATGCTATTCTCCTGCTGACCATTAATGTCTTTCTATGGGCATATTTTGGCTGAGGTAGGGTCAGGCAGTGCGTGGCTTCGGTTTCTCTCGGGGGTCCTCATGTTCTTGTCTAAACTGGAACCACGCAGTGACAGAGACCCTTGTGATGGTTCCCAGATATGCCTGAACACCTTGGTGCAGCCCTTCCTTGGAGGCACTGATTTCTGGAAATGACTGCAGGGCTCGGTTTCTCTGTAACATAAGATGTGACCAAGACTCAACACATGCAGGATGCAGGGGGTCTGTGAGGCAACATGTGGTGAAATCAGGAGACTTGGGGTCAATTTTAAAGGTCTAAGCCAAACAAGGAACAAAGGCTTTGGAAAGCCCAGCTGTGGCATGGCTGAGTCCTCACTCCCTTTGTGCACCAGTTCAGGGCTGATTTTGCACTGCTGTATTTAGGGGAAGGACTTCTGTTTTACACCGGTGTGGGGAGGCTTCCCACCCTCCCCGAGCCCCGTCATCCTGCCCACTTTGCCATGCAGTTGGTCTTACAACAGCCTGAGCCTGTTTACTTGTCAGGCTGCTCCTGCCCCTTAACAGCATTGCCAGCAATAAAGGTGCCTTAGTAACAAAGCCAGTTCTGACTTTGGGTTATTGTGGTTATGTATACTGCACTGATGCACAAAGGTCTCCCTGGGACCACAGTGACCTGGCTGTGGTAGGGAAAGGAAATACCCAGCAAGGCTGGACCTTGTTTCCAAGAGTAAGTCCAGGCTTCTCTGACCCATCTTGTTACTATCACATAATGTGGTATGGCCATAGCTTTTAAAACCATCTCCAGAAGAACAGAGAGCAGTACCCACTGTTAATATCTTTGGTGGTTAGGATGCTCACCTGGAGATGGCTAAAAATGCCCATAGGGATGTAACCCTCCACTCCAGCATCCAAGGGGCACGTTCAAGCCGTCCGGCATGGGCTCTGCAGGGAGGTAAGGGCATGCAGTGAAGCACAGCTATAAAGACAAAGAAAATGAGTCATGATCCAGCAAGGAGAGGAGAAACACAGCTCTGTGCCCACCTGGATACACGGTTCCTTTGTTCATCATCAATTTGGATGGCGGCAACTGAATCAGCCGTGCAGGATGGGGTCTGTGCTGTGCTCGTGCAGGTCAATGCAAGCATTTTCTAAGGGGAGAAAATAGATTTCCTTTGAATAAGGGAGATCTCAGCCCCATCAGTCACCTGTGCACCCCCATGGGAAGAGGCATATGACGCAGAGCTTGCCTTGCCTTTCCACTACTCAGTATTGAGCAGGTGGTGCCCAGATCAGAGGGTGCCTCAACACATTTAGAGGAAATCAAGTTACCAGCTGTGATTAATAGCTGGTAAATGTCTAATCATAACGGACACGTTTCTAATGCATTTAGTAATACCAGGGCTCCTGCCTCCTTGCCTGGAGCAGCGAGGTGCTGAGTGCTCCTGAGCCACAGAGCCCCTTAGCAGCACTTAGCTCAATGGCTTTCTTGCCTCTTTATGGACCACACATCCGCTAAGGCCATGTGGAAAGCAACACAGAACAGGATGAGGAATATCAGGGCAGGGTTTAAAAGGTTTGAGGTTATTCTTTTCCCCCAAGAAAACTTCAGTTTTGTGGGGAATAGAACTGAAAGTTACTAAGCCTTTTCTTTCCTTTTTAATGACACAAATAGCTTTGATCTGTGGTTATATGACCCTGACCCATCTCACAGCATGGACCCTGGAAGATGATGTTTCTTTTAAAGTGATGGTGTCTGTGTCAGTTAAACAAAGTAATGGACTTTGAGAGACGTGACTGCATCTCTGAGCTTGGCCCACAGAAGGAATGGAGACATCCGCGTTGCCAGATGCAGCCAGCTGTGTGCCTACAGGAGAAACACATTTCAGTGGGAGTTTTATTTGACTTACTACTCTGCTTGAAACCACTAAATTGAAATGAAAGATAAAAGAATGGTTGGGGAGGAGGAGGCTGAAATGGTTTATTGAAATAAGCCAAAGTTCTCTCAAAACATCTTGACCTTTGCTTGTATTATCTAGGAAAGCACCATATTTAGCTGGAAAAAAAATCAAACAGAAAAAAAAAAGGTTATATTTTTCCTTCTGGTTGAAGATTGGGGATGGGGGGGGTTGCCTTTTCATGTTTTTTCTCATTTTAATGCCTCTGCTCCTTCCTTTTCTTCTTCTACCCCCATTCCTTCTGCCTACATCCATGTGCAGCTCTTCCCCTGCATCTCCCAGCCTCTCCTCTGCAGCCTTGATAAATTCCAGTTTATGCTACATCTCCCCATGGGGTCCCTCCTGCAGCAAGCAGACCCATGCTCACCCCAGCAGCTCCCCATTAGCACGTCTATGTGCTAAGGAGCTGCAGGGACAAGGACAGGGACTGGATGGGATGGTGCGGGATGATTCTTGACTCCCTACCAGCGCAGGGTGATGCTGTGGCAGAGAGCAGTACTGTGAGCATACAGCTCTTTGCACTGATATGCTCTGAGGGTTTTAAGAGAGGAAACCCCAACAGAGGCTCTGCAGGTGAAGTGATTATAAGCTCCAAATAAAGCACTCTTTTCCTAACAGTGACAATCAAGGCCGAAAAAACACAGGCCCATGACAGTCACATTCAGCACCTGTGAAGAGCTTTATCTCTAATGCACTGTGCACCCAGTGATGCGGGGGTACTTTCTAAAGCTGTCAGAAGACATACAAGTGCTGAAATGCCTCTGGCAGGCTTTGGAGGAACCTTTATAGAGATACAT